TCCAGCTTCCACGCCTTGAGGGGGTGCCGCAATGGGTGGACATAGCTGCACGCCACCCTGGAAGCACTGGGGGGGGGCAGGTGAGGGCAGACAGGGTCTTGTCACTGGCATTGATGTCCCCGATTCTTTATCATGAGCGGGGCTCCCTTGGGGAGCATGGCATGCCTGGCCCTGCTAAAGCAAGAACATGCCAGTATGAAGATGTGAAGGAGGCCCCGAGCCATCCTGGTCTTCCCGTGCTGTGCGGGAGGCTTATCTCCTCAGGAAACCTTAAGCATGGAGCCCACCGTTCCCATGGGTGACAGGGCCCTGGGCAGTGGTGCCACCCCATCAGTCCCTACGCTTGCCCTCCCATCTTTTCTCCCTTTCTTCCTCCTTAATAGAACCCCAAATTCAGGTGAGCCCAAGCCCATATGAAGGCTGCATTTCCTGCATCCCTCACAGGGGGTCGTGGCTGTGGCCAAGAGGTCACGATCTGGCCAGTGGGACATATGTGGACGTGGGGAAACTGTGCCTGGTGGGGAGGGCATGAACTTTCCCTCCTTCCCTGCCTCCTGTGATGGAACCAGAGCTGCTGGCTCGGATAGGCTTGTGGATGACCCCATGCTTGGCACAGTGATGAGGCAGCAGGGCCTGGCTGCTAACACCCCAAAATCTCACGCAGAAATCAGCTTCTGCTTTGTGTACATCACTCCTGTGTTCCCCAGGCGGTTCCCCCTGCTGTGTCCCTCTACCAGGCTGTCCCTACAAGCTGTGCCCAGATACACATGGGTATTACTGGGCTCAGGGAGGGGGCAGCCCAGGCACTGGAGCTGAAGCTAGCTTAGTTTCCATCACGTCCAAAGTCATAAGTGTCAGGATTTGTCAAGCTCTATATGAATCTATCCCGTGTTTTACACGTTTTTAATCATCGTGAGCACAGCAGATGCGCTATTTTTACGAAGACTGTCTGGATAGCACCAGATCCTTTAATAGACGTGACCTGTCAATTTTCTAGTCCCCGAATGGGACTTACTCTTGTTGGAAGAACTGAGTGAGAAGAATCTCAAGAAGCAATACTGCTTCGTGGGAAGAATCTCTTCCAGATGGTGGTTTCTGAGGCAGAGATGGGAAGATGGAGAGGTCATCTTGTGAGTGCCACGGCACAGGGGGTCCACCATGTAATCCAGGACTCAGAACTAAGTTCACTAAATAGATGGGGCTTAAATGATTCAGGGAACTGACCTCACCCAGCAACAAGTGTGTCCAGGCTGTGGAGAGCTCACCGGGAAAGACCTGCCTGCTTTATTGGTTGGAAACTTAGGGGCGCATCTTCCGGGCCCAGGGAGTGGTGTCACTGACATGGGCTTCCCGTGGACTCCCACCTGGGTCCTGCCTGTCCTGCGTGCTCCATACAGATGGCTTCATTCCAGAGCCCCTGGGGCACAAGTCAGTCACAGCATCGGCCCCGGCCTCTGGGACTGCTCCTGCTCTCTCGTTGGTTCCCCCCTCCCATGTTTGGGCAGAGACCCCATCTGACTCTCGCCCTGTGCACCTGCTCCTCACACATTGACCGTGACCCCCCAGGGCACCTCGTTCTTGGTTGCCTCCATTAGAGACCAACAGGATGGACTCCCAGCCCAAAGAAGACCCTGGACGTGGTGTTCTGGTGTCTGCCTGAGGGATAGCTGCCTGAAGAGCCTAGAGCCTTAGTCAGGACCACAGCGAGTCGGCCTGGGGGGGGGGGGATGGTGTCTGCAGAGACCTCGTGCAGATCTTCCCTCTGCCTTTCTCCTTAGGAACCACGCAGTGTGGGCCAGGGTGTCAGGGAGCACCATCGTGTCCACCTCCCCATCCTCCCTCTGAGCACCTTCCCCACCTCGGCTGTGCTCCTGCTGAAACCCTTCCTGACTCCTGGACTCAGGAAATGACGTGATCCAAGTGTAAGCCAATCAGGGCACCCCATCTCCCCGGCCACGATGATTGGGTGCACCACCCAGTCAGCACCGAGGAGACACGAGGGTGCTTCCCCTACCTGTCCTGGAACATTTCTCAGCCCAGGAAGGGGCAGGGAGAGAAGAGGCCCTGGGTCCTGCCCAATGGCCAGAAGTCACAGCGCCCCGGCGCTTCTCACAGAGGCAAGCCTGCCAGTCCCCCTCATTGCTCACATTGTCTGATGGACCTGCAGGGCAGACAGTGGGCAGTTTGTCTGGAAGGTTCTACCCCCCAGCTTGCCTGGGAGCCCTGTGCTCTCCCCGGAGTACCTGGCAGCCCGGGAGCTCTGTGTCTGTCAGGGACCAGCAGGGGCGTGAGCTTGCAGAAAGCATTTTCCATCCAATAAAGGTGGCAAGTCTCCAAGGTGAGTGGCTGCCATGGACACTTAGGGTGGAGAACAGGTGGCCTGGCAGGAACCTCTACATCACGTGGAAAGTCTTGAGATCAGGCACCTCGCAGGGCCCAGTAGGGTCCTCTGCCCCAACTGCCAGCTAGGAATGGCCAAGAAGCCCGAGGAGCGGGGCTCTAGTGTCCAGCTGCTGCCTCATTCAGGGCCATACCGTAATGAATCCCTGAGACCCATGGCCAGAGCTGCAGGGGAGGCAGCAGGCAGCGCATGTCTACATTGTGGAGACTGCAGAGGGGTGCTGAGCATCCACCAAGGCAGGGTCATGGTGCCCTCCACATCCTGCCATGCTAGCACAGCCTGTCACACCAGTACAGCCTGTTTCTCATTATGCCCAGTGCACCCCACCTGCGGGCTCCTTGTCCCCTGGTTCTCCACGTGGCTGGCTCCTCCCTATCCTTTGGGTCTGTTACAGGCTGAACTGTGTCTCCTTAGTTCATACGTAGGAGCCCAAACCCCCAACACCTCAGGATGTGACTTGGAGGTGACAGGCAAAGTGGGGTCACCCAGATCCGTCCCATATGACTGAATCCCCTCGGGAGAGTAGAGCAGGGTGCAGACACACACAAGGCACCACCACTGAGGACACAGTGGGAAAGTGGGAAGACAGTGTCTGCATACCTAGGGGAGGCCTCGGGAGGAGCCGGCCCCCTGCACCTGGATCTGACCTCCCTGCCTCCAGACTGGGAGGAGCACATGTCTGTGGTCTCGGCCGAGCTCTCTGTGATGTTTGTTACTCAGCTGAGCTGAACAAGGCAGGACTGAACTCACTGCCGGGTTGGTCACGGCCCCTCCTTGGCTGCCTGGTCTAAAGATGGCCCCAGGGTCCCCACCCTTGGCCCCACTGTCTCCACCCCTTCCTCTGTGAAATCATCCTGCCTGTGTCCACTGCTTCTTGTCTGTGCACCACAATGGGGGCAGACACTCCTCTGCCCTGTGGGCCTCGGGCTTCCAGCCCCCAGCACATACCTCCTCCACCTCAGGAGCCAGTCCTTAGGACAGCCACATGTGGCCCAGTGGCTACCTCAGAGGTCCCTTGGGGAGGCAGAGAAAGCAGCCCCAGCAGCCCCTATGCCTGGGATGAGGCAAGCTGAGACAGTGGGGATGCTCCATGTGTTAGGGCCTGTGAGTGTACATCCTTTGTTAACAGATGTGTGCTAGGCAGCTTATGTGTGCAGGCCCAGCTCTGTGCCCTTGGGCTATGGTAGTGAAGGAGCCTGCTCTCAGGCACTTGCATTCTAGGGAGACTCCAAATTGCAGATAAGAGGGAGACCACCAGGGAGGACAGTGAACAGGTGGGAGCAGGTGCAGGGAGTTCAGCCCATCAACCTATGCAATCCTTCCATTCCTGATGCTTCCCACCACCTGCTGTCGTCCTCAAGATGTGTTTATATCCTCAACTGTTTTTTTCTGTTGTGTACATTGTGAGAGTTCATAAAAATGGTACATTTCAACCTTACTCCTCCAAGGAAAAATGGAGTGTAGTCTTCTTGTCAGATGGCATTTTTCTGAGTGATGAAGTCACCTTGGCTGTGCACCTGTGGCCACGTCCACATGGTGTTGATGAACAACTGTGTCCCTCCAGCTGTGAGCTAAGAAGGCTCACTGGTGATCTCCCACCTGCACTAGGGCAGCACCTGGCCCTGGGGCAGTTGGGGGGGAGCTACCAATGGCTCAGGTTCAAAACCCCAACTGCATTCACTTCATAGGAGGGAAGATGGTCCTTCAGAGCAGGGTTGTAAGTGTGAACATGTGAGAGCATGAGGCATGAACGTGAGTGTGTGAGTGAAAATGTGGGTGAGAGTGTGTGCAGAGAGTGTGAAAATGACTGTGTGGCCGAGTGAGTGGTCTCTGCCATCTTAAGGAGAGATTTGGTGTGTTTATATTTATTGTGGCAGCAAATGTACTTGACTGGGCTCCTTCCACGTATATTTCTGTTTTTCCATTACTCCTGTTTTCTCTCTTTTCCATCACCTTATTTTTGACATTTGCTAAGTTCCTGTTCATTCCCTTTGCCCCCTGGTGAATTCATTCCCTCCATTTTTATTATATCAGCAGCCCACAGCCCGGTACCTTCTACAGGCTAATTAGCAAAAGTGCAACATTTAATTACATCTAGGAACCAGACCTTCCTTGCCTGGGCCCCCTCACCCAGCCCCCACAACAAGACTCCCAGGAAACCTGCCACATTCCCTTCTTGTACTCCTCAGTCCTTAGATTTGGCCAACGCTGGTCCCTTCAGCCCCAATGAGTTGGTCCCTGCAGACTTCACATCCATGGCAGCAGCCCTCAGCTGACTGTCACACTGCCCCCCTGTAGCCCATCACCTGCCACCCAGGTTTCAGGTTCGGGCAACACCCAGGGTGCACAGTTCACCATAGATGTTGCCACACTAGGCTACAACCTGATTGGACAGCCATTCCCTGAATCAGCACGGACTCAGTAGGCTGAGACCCAGAGCATGCAAGCCCACGGCTTCTGACGGACGGAATCTTGGAGTCTGGGCATCCTCCTTGGCCCTGTTGTTGCTCTTCTGTTTATAAGAGCAGAGCTGGCTGAGCGGCATGTCTCATGTCTGACGCCCATGCTGCCTGCTGACTGCCAACTGTGTCTCCCACAGGTGCAGACAGATGACCCACGCCACCGACCTGCCCCAGATCTCTGTGGTGTTCATCTTTGTCAACGAGGCCCTGTCCGTCATCCTGCGCTCTGTGCACAGTGTGGTCAACCGCACACCCTCGTGGCTGCTCAAGGAGGTCATCCTGGTGGACGACAACAGTGACAGTGGTGAGTAGGGGCCAGTGTGGCACCTCGAGAGCACAGCTGTGCTGCAGCTGGGAGCCAGAGACCTGAAGGTGGGTTGGGCTGGCTGCACTTCCAGTGGGCTCCAGCCAGAGTCCTCCCCACCTCTCCTGGCTCTGGGGACGGCTGGTACCCTTGGGCCTTGGCCGATAGTGCATCATTCCCATCTCTGCCTTGTCTTCATGTTGCCTCCCCCCTGTATGGCACACCTGTTGTCGGATTAGGGCCACCCTAAATCCAGCAGGATTTCATCTCAGGATCCTTACCGGCTATATCCATAGAGGCTGTAGTTCCAGATAAGGTCTTGTTCTGTGGTACTGGGTAGATTTGCATTTGGGGCTCTGTTCATCCCTTATAGATGTCATCCAGAAAAGCCCCGGCAGGCTGAGCTCCCCTACATGCTGCTCACACCATCCACTCCTTGCTAGTGACAGAGGAGAGGGTCTGCTGGAGAGGAGCTGGGCCCCATTGGGCCCCCTGGCACACGTCCCATGCCTGCCTGGCACGCGCAGAGCCAAGAGCCTGAACTTGCCATGGACGGCCCCCAGACTGAGGTCCCTGTGGCGTCTCCTCTGCACCCTGGAGGAGGGGAATCTGGGGCATTGTCCAAAGCCCTCAGGAGGTGCCATGTCCAACCCAGGGCCGGTGTGGATGTGTATACTGTGGAGCCCTGAACCGAACCCCTGAAAGGAGTGAGGACTGGGTGGGCACCTTCCCTAGAAAGGCAGGATGAGGGCAGGAGGCAGTTCTTGTGAAGGACCGGCTGCCCTTCCTGGGTCCCAGGGAAAGGTGGCTTCCAGGGGCGGTGGCCACTGGGCCTGAGTGCAGGGTGAGGGGAGTCCCTGCCCAGCTGCCTGGAGAGACAACCACCTTCTTCCCCATCGGCCTTGATCTGCTGTGGCTGCCTGTTTGGGTGCACATTTGGCCTGTGGGTGCCTCCTCAAGCAGGTCCTGGGTTTGTACCTGTGCCTTCATCGAGTTTGTAATAATTTACTGACCTGAAATTCTCCTAAAATCGACCATTTAAAACATAAGTGTATGACTCAGGGGCATGATGCACACTTACGCTGGTGTGCAGCTGTCCCCACCCTCTGTCTCTGGGACTATCCATCTTCCCAAACTGCAGGTCTGTCCCCACGAAGCACTGAGCCCCATCCGCAGCCCCATCCCACCCTCCATCTCTGCGAATGTGGCACCTAATGGGGCCTCAGAGAAGTGGGTTCAGAGAGTGTGTGTCCTCAGGGTTCATGTGCGTGTAGCAGGGGTCATGGCTGAGTATCCCACAGTGTGGACGGACCACGTGTGTGTGCCCATTCATCTGCCGTGGACGTCGTTCCTCTTTACCGGGAGTAACTCAGTCCCGAGTTCTCGTGTCTGTGACTCATGCCTCTGTCCACGCAGTCCTGTGGGGTAGGGGTTTGTTTGTTGCCCCAACACTGGAGACCCAGCCTCATGGGGTGAGATCTTGTCGCTCTGTGGTCTCCCGGGCCCCTGGAAGCACATCTGGCCACGGCAGGTCGTCCTCAACAGGCCCAGGGCACGTGGTGCTCCAGCCTGCTCGCACCAACTTGGGGCAGCCTTGGGGCCCTCCCAGGGCATGGCTGTGCTGAGGCATGTCTGTGTCCCCTGCAGTGGAGCTCAAGGCCAGCCTGGACCAGTATGTTAACAGGAGGTACCCAGGCCTGGTGAAGATCGTCCGCAACAACAGGCGGGAAGGCTTGATCCGGGCACGGCTGCAGGGCTGGAAGGTGGCCACGGCCCCGGTGGTCGGATTCTTCGATGCCCACGTGGAGTTCGGCACGGGCTGGTGAGAGTGGGGCACCAGGGGCAGAGCTGGTGGGGGGCTGGCTCTGGGGACTCCCTGCATCAGCCAGCAGACGAGCCTGGGGCTTCCCTGCACCTAGCTCACCAGGCCAAGGCCGCTAGCAAGGCGCCGACCTCAGGGCATTACATGTGGGGACTGGTCTGTGCCCCCATCTCGCTCCCAAAGGGAATCAGATTGGCCAGCGGTTCCACAGGTCATAGCACAGAATAAGTGTGGCCTTGTGGCCTCAGATCAGGGAACACACACAGTTTTGCTGCACTTGCTGTGTGCCCGTGTCGCCCCCAGGCCCTGGTCAGCTGCTGGCAGCCCAAGCCACTGGGCGCCTGTTGGAAACAATTTCCTGTCTTGTGGAAACCTCTCGTCCACTGTGCAGGGGCGAAGTGGGTCTCTAATGAGACGCCTTCAGGGGAACAGGGCCGGGAAGTGGCAGGGGTATGCAGGTGACTCAGGAGCAGGTGTGTGGGATGACCTAGAGGCACCCCACACCCCAGCAGGAGGGCTGGGTGCATTCTGTAAAAATGGTGTCAATTGTCTGGCAAGTTATCCACCATCAACAGGGGGGCTGGGTCCCCAGGAGGTGTTGGACCAGGGGTGGTCCAGGCCCCGCTGTCCCTAAGCAGGTGGTGCACTGATGTCCTCACAGCAGGAGCCCAAGGACATCTTGACTGAATAGCAGGATGTGCTTCAGGGTATCCCAGAAAGTGCTGGCTGTACCCTTAACTCTTCCTATGGCTGCACGTGTGGGGGTGCCCTAGCGTGTGAGCACAAGGCCCCGTGCAAATGAGAGAAAAATATCGTGGCCAGGGGAAGGGCAGGGGCGACAATCCTGCGGGAACGTGCTAGGTTAGAGAACGAGGCCCGGCAGGACGTCCAGCTTGCCCACGTGGTGCAGGCAGGGGAGGGCGAGGCATGCTTGTCTCCTGGTATTCAGATGGGATGTTGGAAGTGAGCACGGGATGGGGGATTGTTGCCAGGACTGCATGTGTGTGGTGTCCGGGAAGCCCCTGAGGGCACCTGGCTCCAGGTCCTTGGGGTCACACCCATACTTCCCTGGATTGCAAACCGGGGCCACAGGGGACAGCCTGGTTTGAGGTGGCCTGGCTGGTGAGGGGACGCTCTGGACAAACGAGCATACACATGGAGAGTGGCCTGCGGGCAGAGGGAGGGTGAAACTGCGCACCAGCGTCCCCGGATTGCTGAACCGATGGCCACAACCCAGGCAGCTCTAAGCAACAGATGCGACTCTCTCTGTTCTGGGGCCCGAAGTCCATGAAGGGGACCCAAGTGTCTGCCAAGCCACAGCTCCTGGAGGCACCTGGGGAGGGTCCTTCCTTGTTGCCTGCAGCCTGTGGATCCCATGGCAGCCCTGGGCTGTGGCCACAGCGCTCTGTCCTCACACGGCCCCCTGTCCCCCTACCATGTGTCTCACTCTCCTCTTCTGTTTCTTAGGAAGGTCCTTTTCATGGGATTTAGGGCCACCCACGTAGTCCAGGATGCTCTGCTCTCAGGACTCGGAGTTAAACCCGCAGTGGGCGGGTCTCCCGTGAACAGGGGTGGCCCTGGCACCGTCGCTGAGCCTCAGGGAAGAGTGGGCTCCGGTGGCAGGCTTGCCCCATTTCAATAGAAACTAAAACTCACGGTGTTTATATCACATCTCCCAGTGCATATTTTTCCGACCCTGTGATGCCCAGCATGAGACGTTCCCTGGGATACTGCCCATGGGGAAGGAGGGTTGGCGGTGGTCATGCCGACCGAGGGCTGGTGGGCCGGACCCTGCCGTGCGTGGTTCCCGGGTCCCCTGCTGCTCTGGGAGGCTCTGGTGTCCTCCACCCGCTGCAGCAGAGCCTCGGCATCTCCTAGGCAGGTGGAGCCTTCCCTTCCCTTCTCTGGGAGCCTCTCAGCCACCCCAGGACCACACATTTGTCACAAGGGTTGGTTCTGTCCCCCTGTGTGTTTGACCTGCTTGACTTCCTGTCCCAGCCCCCATTTCTCTCTGCTCCGCTGCCCTCGAGAGGCAGCCGTCCTTGTCCTACTATGTGGATCACTTTCTATCATTCCTTATAGGTCCCCACCTGTCCCAGCCAGGGTCTCTCCATGGTGTTGTGTGGGTTGCCCACTGCACAAACAAACATGCTTGGTAGCTTGCCTCCCTCTGCGGGATCGTAAGCTCCCTAGGGCACTTGGAAGCCGTTTGGGAGAGCCATGAGTCTGTCACTTCAAATGCAATTTCAAACCGGTGTAACTTCAATTTAACAACTGAAAACCCAGTTATCTGTCTGCAAATAGCTGTCCCTTCCCAGAGCCACCTCCACGAGGATCCTGGCTCATTAGCAGATGAGGCGTTTGGAGAGGGCTCTTCACCACAGGGACTGTGCTGACAGTAATTAATTAATCCTCCTCGAGAAGCTGAAAGGCAGGTAAATACCAGGCTGAGGCTCAGCAGGATGGGAAGGAGGACAGGCCGCGTGGCAGGTGTTGCCAGGTGGGACCAGAGGACCCACCCCCACAGGCTGCCCTGCCTGATCCCACACCTGACATCCCACACCTGACATCCCCACCTCCGCCCGGCATCACTGCAGCTCCAGCGCCGGGTCATCCGGGCAGTGGGTGGCCCATGACCTCAGAAGTCCAGCTCAGAGGTGGGCTTCTGGGGGTAGCAGGTCCTTGCAGAGACAGGACACCTCCAGGGCGAAGCTGCACCTGCTTCGCTGGGGACCCGCCTGCGCCCAACAGAGACTCTGCAACTCAGGCTGCTGCCTGTGTCCTTGGGTCCCCCTGCTCCCTGGCTTCACCACGTATACGTCCCCCATTTCTCCACTCTAGCCACACATCCCAGGGCTGCAGTACTGACCACACGCTCGCCCATGCCCCTGACACCTACCAGCGCCCACCTCCTCTGGTCATTGCCCAGGGCAATCTGCATCAACACCCTATTTAAAACTGCGACCCCAACTCACCCTTACCTTGCTCTTTCCTACAGGGTACCTGATACCTCCTAACAGCCTTTCCCTCATAGGTTAATGTCTGCTCCCCCGCCTGTCAGGGCCACTGCATGCTGTTGTGTGGGTCTTATCCTTCCAACAGGCCATAAGCTCTGTGAGGCAAGGATTTTTTTTTTTTTTAAGTTTAGGAATGTATTCCAGCTGGTTAGACCAGGGTGTGGCGCATAACGGGTCCTCAAATTAGAGCTTGTGAGTGAGTGTAGCTTCCACAGGAGCAGGGCAGGAGGGGTAGGGAGTGGGATTTGGTGGAGGGAGTGGCCGAGCTGTGAAGCAGGCCAGTGGCAGGCTCAGCAGGCCTGCAGGGGTGCCCCAGGAAGAGGAGGGCAGTCTGCGGCCATACAGGCCCAGGGCTTCAGGGCCGACACCCTTGCACTGCAGCCAGCCGGCAGGGCCCCCCAGTGTCACCCTGCCTGTGGGGGGCAGGCCCCTCCTCGGGGCACAGGCTGGAGGTCCCCGCACCCAGGCCCCTCCTCACAGGCCCCACGCCCCTCTGCAGGGCCGAGCCCGCGCTCCTGCGGATCCAGGAGGACCGCCGGCGCATCGTCCTGCCGGCCATCGACAACATCAAGTACGACACGTTCGAAGTGCAGCAGTACGCCAGCGCGGCCCACGGCTACAACTGGGGCCTGTGGTGCATGTACATCATTCCGCCCCAGGACTGGCTGGACCGTGGCGATGAGGCAGCGCCCATCAGGTGAGCCAGCCCTGGGCAGGAGGCAGTGGGGGGAGGGGATAGGAGGTGGGGCGGGTGCGGGGGCACAAGGTGAGGGGGCAGGAGGCGGGGCTTGGGGGCAGGGGCAGGCACCAGGCGGGGAGGGAAGGCGGCAGGCTTGGCAGGTGCAGGGACTGCGCTGGCCGCGGGGGATGCATGGGATCGCGGGTCCGGCCTACGCGTGTGACCTGACTGGAGAACAGGTCAAGGGGGGACGGGAGGGGGAGATGGAGGCCAAGGAGCAGAAAGGAAGAGCCAGTGATAGAGAAGCAGCTGTGGACAGAGGATGGGAGACCAGAGAGAGAGAGAGAGAGAGTAGAGCAGGAGGGAGATAGCAGGACAGGGACCCAGAGCCCAGACAGGGGGCAGCTGCCCCACAGGAGCCACAGGCATGTGTGGCGGGACCGTGAGGCCAACAGGGCCGCAGACAGAGACCTCAGAGGTGTCCTCAAATGCGTGTCTTTATTTAAAATGGTCCGTAAACATGAAAACAGAGATATTTTTCAAGTTAAAAATACACAAATCCAGGACTCCTGGGTGGCTCAGTGGTTGAGTGTCTGCCTTCAGCTCAGGGTGTGATCCTGGAGTCCACGGATCAAGTCCCCCATCGGGCTTCCCGCACGGAGCCTGCATCTCCCTCTGCCTATGTCTCCCATGAATAAATAAAATCTTTTAAAAAATACACAAATCCCACACATTTTGGGAGATGGGAAGGCCCAACTCTCACAAGGTGGAGCTGAGAAGGGGCCACGTCTAAACCGGTGTGGGTCTCCAGCACCCCCAGATCCTCCGCCACCTGATCCATGTCCATCACCGACTCCAGTCTACACTCAGCAGCCACGTCTTTGTCCGCTGAGCCCTAGGAACCTGGGCTTCATAACTGGGTCCTAGGGGTGCGCAGCCGCAGGAGCGTCTCCCAAGGCAAAGGTGCTGATCCTGGGGGCCTCTCACAGGGGCTTGAGATTTCAGGGGCTGGGAGTGCCCCCCTCCCTGTCCAAACTGGTATGTTCCTGCCGACATCCTGCTGAAACAGGTCCTGTGCTTGGGAGTGACCGACGCCATGTGTCCTTGTGCCTTTGAAAGCTCTCTCCCTCCCCCCAGGAGGGTCTTGTGGGGCATCCAGGCACCCACCCCTGCTGGCAGAGAGCAGCCTGGATATCCAGCAGTGAAGTTAGTGGACACTAGGGCTGAATAGCACGGCCAGAGCCTTCACTTCACTGATTTTGAGGAAAATAACGCTGCCAGCAGAGAGGGCCGCCCTGAGCAGTGAGACCAAGGACCCCCAGAAGCCGGCGCAGCAGCCCCTTAGGGGCCCGGTGCTGTCCCAGCAGCCACTTCCTTGGAGATGGCCCCAATGCTCCTGAGAGATGTAGGAGCTCTGGGGTCTTTTGCAGTCGAAGCGGGGCTCAGAGCCATCCATGTCCAGAAGCTGACCTGCAGGTCCCCAGGCTCACTCCAAGCAAGGAGTGGCAGCTTGAAGTTATTTTCCTTCATTCAAGATGTACCTGATGGCCCCACTTAGGAGGAACCCAGGCCTAGCATTTCCATTTTAGGAGTCAGTGAGGTCAGAAACCCTGAGGGGAAGCACCTGAAATTGTTGGCGACCTCCGGACATCCTGGGCTGCCTGGGAAGCAGGATTTTCTGGCCAGACCGTGTCTTGTCTCAAACTTTGCTCATTCCAAGCACCCCCTGAGAGCTTTTGAAAACCTTGATGCAAAACTCCAAGTAAAACACAGGTGAGGCCTCCACACACACCGGAGGCCAGAGGAGATGGATACGGCTAGTGTGTCATGGGAATGCCAGCCTCCGCCAGGAGGGAACGCAACCGCCGGAGGTGCCCGGGCCACTGGGAGGGCCGCACCGGGCACTGCTGAGAACACAGGGTGGTCGGAGCTCCCAAGGAGCCTGGGCACAGAACGAACTGGCAAAACCACTTCCCAAGACCTTTGGCGGTTTCTCCTCAAGGTAAACCACATCCAACTTGGCGACCTGTCCCTTCTGCCATCGGCCTGGACGATGTGCACAGCTGCATCCATGCAGAGACTCATGAGGATGCCCACAGCAGCAGCACTGTTCCCAGTGATGGAAACGCCCCCGAGGACCTACAGGTGTGAACAGGTAGACCAAGGTCCCAGAGAGAAGGGACGAACCATCATCCGTGGAACAACACAGGTGAAACTAAGGGCTGTGGGGCTGGGCCAGTGCGGCTGGCAGGGACGCGCTCCCACTGTGTGCCACAGTGCTTGGAACTGCCCAGAGGGGCGTGGTTAGAGGAAATGACCGGCTCTCGGGGGTGCTGGACACTGACTTTGAGCTGTCACTAATCTTGGAGACCTGGTGTGTGGTGTCACAGTGGCCCTCGCCGCTCTGGGGGACAGGGGCTTTGCTCAGCAAGTCCCTGGGGTTACTCCCCGGGGTCTCAAATGGCTGGAGTCACACTCCGGAGTGTAGATTCAAAGAAGGTGAGCACACCTGGGGACATGGAAGCTCTGGCCAGGTCCCAGGGGTGGAAGAAGGGCTGAGCCCAGCCGGTGAGCACCCTTGACCCGTTGCCCCTCGTCTCTGTCCTTACTGCAAGGATGCCCCCAGGGCACTGCCTGGACAGGCCTTCTCACCACAGCCTGCTTAGCAGACCCTTCAGATGAAACACTGTGCCCAGCTCCCTGCAGAAGGTGCCCTTGGTGGTCATACAAGTGACCCTGACTGGACAGATTGCTTCCTGTACCCGGAGCTGGGTCCCTGCAGGTCCACGCGGGTGTCTCCTGGAACGTGCTCTGAGAGCTCTTACCCCCACATCCCTGGTGGGAAGAGCTGCTGCCCTTTGGAAGGACTGGCCTGCGCATCCACATCGTAAGCCACGCTGGGAGAGGCTGACGGTTGGAGACTGACATTAGGGAATGTCCGTGCCGTTCGTTATCCCGGAAGCTGAAGAAAGAGGGAAGAATGGAAGGGATGATGTGGCCTGGACGCTGGGGAGAAAGTATGTCAGCTGGCGGCCCCTCCTGCACCGGGGCGCAGCGTGCAGGGCTGCATGTGCACAGGCCACAGCACCGGAACCTCATGCATCCCATGGCCATGAGCCCGTGCACAAGGCTGGAGCTCCTGTCCCCAGGGTCCCACCGTGCATCCGGGGGTGGTGAGGGCCTTGTGGGCACGGGTGTCTTCCAGTAAGCACGAGGGCCCAGGACAAGCCTCCAGGAAGGGAGACCTTCGGGTCGGGCTGAGGGGCCTCTCCCACAGGGGAGTGAGGGTTGAGGGCCTGATCACATACACACACACACACACACACACACGCACCAAAAACACAGATACACACGTAGCTGCGTACACACACCTGCACAAGACACACACGCACAGATGCACACTCACACCTACACATATACCCCCACACACAAGAACACACACACCTGCACACACTTACACACACACCAGCACACACACATACCCACATATGCACATGCACACAGATGCGCACTCATAGCTGCGTACACACTGCCACACGTACACACATGTACACACCCCCACGCACATCCTGCACACATACCCGCACACCCAAACACATCCAGCTGTGCACACACCTGTACACACAAAACCACATGTCGACATGGGCGTGCATAGACATGTGTGCACGCATTCACACCCACACACATAAGTGTGCAGACACATCGTGCACAGACACAGATGCACTTGCACACACAGAGAATTGCTTCCTGGTCACAGTGGAAGAACACTGATCCCTTCCTCTCTGACTTTTTTGCTTGCCTTCTAAGAGGTGCTTCCGGCGGTGCTGGGTGGTACCCGCAGCCATGGGGGGGTCCTGTCCATCATCCGTGTTCACTCCAGCCTCCACACTGATGGCCTCCAAACTGACCTCCTTTGTGCTGTGACACAGCTTCGTGCAGCAGCTGGCTTAACACCCGAGACAAATGCCAGGCGGGGTCGGCGGGATACTAACGCACAGCTCCCAGGCTCCTGACACTTGCTGTCGTTTGTGTTCACAGACAGCTATTGTCCACATGGCAGCCACTGGAGGGGGGCACCGTCTGGCCCCTGGGGTGCCAGCGGAGAGGCGGAGTGCAGGGAGGACCACACAGCTTGTGGGCTCAGAGCTGGGCCGGCCCTCACAGCTGTGCTGCTCCTCACTGCTCTGAACCACCCCCTGGAGCACACAGCGTACTTCTGGCTTTCCAGTCGTTGCTTCACACCTTTCCAAGAAGGCTGATCTAGTCCACACCAGTTTCTCCAGAGACTCACCATCACTGTGTCTCTGCATTTAGCATGGACTATGTGCACCATGGCTCCTTGTGCTCCCAGTGCACCCATGTGCTGCGTGTTCTCCAGGGGCCTTCCCATGCTCGCAAGCAGAGCGCGTGCCTGGCCACGCCATGAGCATGTGGTTTTCCAGGTGCCGCAAGCACACTGGCTCACCTTGGTGTTTGTCAGTCTCCTGAAGGCCAAGCGGTGCATCTGGGGTCCTCATTTTACCAGCCCTCCCTTTGTGTGGGGCTCCAGGGTTACATGGCTTGGGAGTGTGTATCATGTGTGTGTTTGTGTGCATCAGGTGTGCCTGTGTGTCTGTTACCTCACCCAGGCAGGAGCCTAGGTGGGGGGCCCTGGCTGTGCACCATGCATGTCACACAATAGCCCGGGAATAAGGATGCCCCATGATGATGTCTCCCCGGAACCCGAGAACCCCTCAGCCAAAGCATCCCCAGCTTGCTGTGTTGTGTAATCACAGCAGAATTTCTCATGCAAATAAGCTCAGTGGCAGCTGATTCTCCTTCCATCACCTCGTGAGTTTATTAAGTTTATTTTGGAACTTGGAGCAATAATTAAAAAAAAAAATCATTACCAGCTATAATAGACTTGGCAGGGAATTTGGCACTTTGATTCACCAGAGATCACCCTTAGATTTCTCGTTGCTGTGAAGAAAATGAGAGAAGTGCCTGCTGTGCGCCGGTGAATTATAACCTAACCCGTCAAACACTTGCTATTGAGAGTCAAAGGCAGCGTTAAAATTTTGTTACTGTTAGATTCGTGGCCAAAATGTAATGACAGAACAAATTGAATCTTTGGACAAATAAAAGGATAATCGTTTCTTAATGCCTCTGTTATTCTCGGACAACTGATGGGCATTTACTTTGACTTCCCACTCACTGAGCAGAAATGCTTCTCTTAAACTGTGATTGAGACCAATCTTTGCTGTTGTGTTAGTGAAGAGGGGTTGTCGCCTGTGCAGGAGTAGCAGGAGCAGCAGCAGCAGCCGCAGCAGCAGAGGGAGCGGCTTCTGCCTCCACCTGGGTGCTGGGGCGGCCCCAGGGCCTTGGGGCCTGGGCAGCCTCTGCTGGCTCCTCTCAGGGCCTGGGAGACACCAGGCCCTCAGCCGACAAGCAGACCAGCTCTGTCTTTGATTTGGGGCAAAATCTTTCATCAAAGCTAAGAGTCCTGCTTTCTTACAGCATCTGGACTGTGCCTACTTCTTGCTAGAGATATACTTTCTCTTTCTATCCTTCCTGCCTGGGAGACACTCACTATATGTGAAATTCATTGTTGAATGAATGAATGAATGAATGCACAATACCATCCACAGTGACGCTGTTCTCTTCCTCTCCAATACTTTGTCTCATTGTGCCTCAATTTATTATTGGTGCTCCGCGAGACCACTTCCCGGGGACCCATAACTGATAGATCTTTAGTGAAGAGTAGAAAAGATATAACTAGAACATAGATGCTTGATTTCACAGAATTTCTGGAGATGAGGCAAGATTTACTGACATCTTTTAAATGTGTCGGTGTAAATGATTATAGAAATAATAGGACAGACTGCAGTCTGTTCACTCTACAGCTTCAAAGTGTGTCATTCAGAAAGAATCTGATGTCAGTGGGGGGGGGGGCATAGAGTTGAGCAGTGCACAACCTATGCAGTGGCCCAGTGCAGCCCTGAGTCCTGGCATGCAGATGGGACAAAATGATGAAGGAGATAGGCAAAAGACTCAAGCCTGGGAAATGATGTTCAGGGCAACCAAGTAACTCATTAGGTAAACTGATTTCTTTAAAATCCCCTCCACTAATTTGCCTGAGTTCAGTGCTGGTTTTGAGGTCTGATGTTCTTCAATTAGCATTTGGACTTGTCCTGTGCTGAGTGCTTTACAGGCTCTGAAGGATATGAAGGTGACCCTGAGAGGGGCCCCTGAGTCCTGAGGCGTCCCAAGTCCTGGGCTCTCCCAGCCACTGGCACCCCCAGCAGGTCGGGGCTCAGGGTACCGTACCTGTGACCTGCTCAGGGCTGTCTCTGCCCCCACCAGGACCCCCGCCATGATCGGCTGTTCATTCGTTGTGGACCGCGAGTACTTCGGGGACATCGGGCTGCTAGACCCAGGCATGGAGGTGTACGGTGGTGAGAACATTGAGCTGGGCATGAGGGTAAGTGGCGCTGCATGGGGCTGCGAGGCAGCAGCCTGAGCACTGCTGGGTAAAGGCCAGCGGGAGTGAGGCTGTGCAAGGGGTCCGCGTGGGGAATCGCACAGCACGGTGCTGCGTGTGTGCTCTGTGGCCCCGCCAGCGCTGGAGGGTGTTGGAGCTGGTCCAGGGCACAGGGAACCAAGCGTCCGCAGTGGGACACCCCTGCAGCTGTCCTGCATACCGGGCACATGGTTCTGTGTTTGTCGCAGCGCAGATGGGCTTGTGGGTACCTGAGGCCCGAGGTTGCTCCCAGCGGGCTCGTGCAGAGGCCCCCCCCAGACAGGACGGGTCATGGGGGCCCCACTGGGGAGAGCATAGGCTGGACAGGCAGGGGCACCCCCAAGGGAGGCCCCAAGCTAGCCTGGGGAGTGACTACGAGCCTCAGCCGCCATCCCCCCCTGCACCCAGGGGCCCCTCCTGCCCTCAAACTTCCTCACCCGCTGCTTGGAGAACTAATGGAAAGTTCTGGAAGAATCCTGGTAGCAAATCTGGGGTGGCCGAGCTCCTTCTCTCCTGGACGCCTGAAGCGGAGGTCCGAGTGGCCACCCGGGGAGGTGCTTCACTGCTCCGTGCTCTGGGGAAGGTTGGTGGCTGGGGACACACCCTGGATAGCCCTCAAAACCGGAGCACGACACACCTGAGCAGGTGGCTTTGGAGATCTTAGAGGCTCAGTGAGCAAGCCCCCCACCAGCACTGGGTGACACTCTCTCAGCCCCTCCCTGGAGCCCGTGTTTCCCACAGGAGCCAGGCCTTGCTTACTGTGCACTGTGAGCGCCGGGCCTCCAGCTCTGGAGGGAACCAAACAGATGGAACAGATCCTGACTTCCTGCAGCTCAGCTTCCAGGGAGGAGGTGAAAGAGAAAGTGTGTCACTTAGTGAGGACCCCAAGGGGAGAAAGGAAGCAGTGGGGGCAAGAGTGCAGAGGAAGGGGCAGTTTTAGATGATATCTAGGGGATCCCTGGGTGGCGCAGCGGTTTGGCGCCTGCCTTTGGCCCAGGGCGCGATCCTGGAGACCCGGGATCGAATCCCACGTCAGGCTCCCGGTGCATGGAGCCTGCTTCTCCCTCTGCCTGTGTCTCTGCCTCTCTCTCTCTCTCTCTGTATGACTATCGTAAATAATAAATAAATAAATAAATAAATAAATAAATAAATAAATAAATAAATAAATAAATAAATAAAAAATAGAGGATATCTATAGGAAGACCTCCAGGTGCTGTGTAGGAGCTGGGGGTGATCAAGGGAAGGGGACGATGCTCCAGGCAGAGGGAATGGCAGGTGCAAAGGCTCTGGGGCAGGATCATGCTTGATGTGCTCCAGAAGCACAGACACATGTGCAGCCTGCTGAGTGGGGCGGGGGAGGTGGAGGAGGTGAGGGTCCAGCTTCTGCTCTGAGGGAGCTGGAGGCCTCGGAGGCTCTGAGCAGAGCCTTGGCTTCCATGTTTCAGGGATCCCTCTGGCTCCCGGGATTCCATGGTGGAGGGAGTGAGGGCAGAAGCAGAGAGGCCAGGACTTCTGGGATGATACTGGGAGGTGATGTGCTTGGACTGGGGAGGAGATGGTGAGCTCCTGCGTGGACTGGGTGTGTTCTTGAGGAAGTACCCATAGGCTTTGCTGGGGGAGGGGATGGGGGCTCAGGGGTGATCAAAGTTCCTCACTAGAGTTTGGCCTGAGCAGCTAGGAAGGTGGACAGGTCCCCGTTGCAACAGAGAGGAGGTGGCCTGGAAAGTCCCGGCATCACCCAGAGCCCCAGAGTCCCGCCTCACTGCTGGGATTGGACCCAAACTGTGACTCTTCTCTGCAGAAGTGGCTTCACTTCTAAGAGTTTGGTTCAGAGCCTCATTTTGGTCTGAAAAGAAAGAAAATCGGGTTTAACTCGGAGTGGCATTCGGCACTCGAAGGCTGTTGTTCGCGGCGGGACCGGGTGGTGGCTTTTCCAGGGCCCTGTGACCTTCAGCGCCAAGGTCACTTCCAAAAACCAGCTCTGCTTCCAGGGACTCGGCTGGGCCCTCAGGTACATGGATTGTGACCTCGTGACCCGGCTTGATGTCCCTGCCCACACAGCGCTCGGTGTTTCCTCCGCATTCCCACTGTCCCGTGGGCCACGCGTGTGCAGGGACTGAAGCTCCCTGCCCGAGCCCGTGGATGCCTCCCCCAGCGGTTCTGGCCTAACTAGCAGGCCCAAACCCTGACATGGTGCAGCTCATGTGGCTTGGGAATGGGGTCCTCTCTCTCAGGCCGTGGCATCCAGCCTCGGGGTTCACTGCATTTGACGCCCTGAAGCCCCAGCTTGATGGCCTTGATTCTGTAAACTTTGCTCTGGGCCCAGCAGAGACAGGAGGCCCTCAGGGGTCTGGGCCTCAGTGCCTCGGGGTGGCAGGATGGCCGTAAATGGATGGTGTCCCTTGGGAACTCGTCAGTAGAGGGGGCCCCAAGCAGCCCCCTGGAGCTGTTTCTGGAATTAGAACAAGAGGAAGCCAACATGAGTATTGGATTCCCGAATTTAGAACAAGGTTTGAGCCAAGACTCCCAAGTGGCCACGACACTGAGTCTGGAGGGCCTGCGACACTGCCACAGAGGCTCAGCCATCAGAGGTCTGAGCAACGCACGTCCTGCGGGTGGATCAGGCAGACGTGGCTTCCCAGGCCGCAGTCCTCAGGCTCCCACTGCACCTCCATCCTCTAGAGGTTTTCTTAAAACACAGACCACTGGGCTCCACCCCAGGGAGTCACACTCAGGGCTAAGCCTGGGTGCCTGCGTCTCCAGCACGTTCTCGGGGCTGTGCCTGCTGCTGGCCGGAGGGCCCACGCTGGAGCCAGCCCCAGGCTGCCGAGCACCCCGAGCGCACCCAGGGGCAGAGCTGGGGTCCTGGCTGGCGTTGGAGGCCCAGCAGTCAAGCCAAGTAGTGCTCTGGTCGGTTGGGGTCCTGGGTTGGTTGGTTTGCTTTTCCCTCTGGAGCCTTTGTTCACAGGGACCGCTTAGGCTGGTCCTGAAAAATTTCTACACAGCTTGTCGAAATCACACATTTCTAAACCCATTTGCTTTAGGCTTTTTGGTTACACCCAGGGACTCTTGGGGTTATGGGTATAAATCTCATCCAGTAAGAACGCTCACCTCTCCCTTTTCTTTGATTAATGTTTGATTAACTCGGATTGAACAGATTAAATACCATTCAACAACAATCAGTTCCATTTCTGCCCTGAGTTGATTAAATCCCCTTGAACCTTTTATAACAACCCAAATATAGTGTGTTTATGCTCCTATTGAAGCACTTTGAGCGTCTGGCATCACAGCAGAAATTCCCCCAAATGCTGAGAAAGTTCTAGTTTATCCAATACGTTAAACTTACACCACATCTCAAGTTCTCTGAAGCATTTCAGAATTGTTTGCGATTCTATTTAATTCTCTGGCATCCAGACGTGGGGTCAGAGCCTGGGAAACACCAGGACACAAGGTGATGGAGGGGTGGCAGCACCTGGGAACACCCCAGTCCAGCAGAGGAGGTGTGCCCTGTGAGCTGCCAGCAGCCTGTGCTGGTGTTGGCGATCAGAGATGGAGGAAGGACAGGGACGGGTCTCACCTGGTGGCCAGCAGGACATCGGAGGCCAGGGGTAGCATAGACAGGCATTCTCTGGGGCATTTGAAGAGGGACATGTAGCAAAAGGAGACCCCGGAGCCCGACTGTGCTCAGCACCCCTGCGTGGTGATCACGGGCGGGACCCAATGTGTCCCCAGCCTTGGTCTCCATGGTGTACAGTGGGGTCTGGGCTCGGGGCTGCTGCGCAAGGTCCTGCCTGTGGGGGGAGGGCTCTGGTGCTGCTGGGGGAGGGGTCGGGGGCCACTTTGCTAAGGGAGGCGACATGGGCATAGACGTGGGATGGACATGGCTACAAATACGGCTTAGATGTCTGAACAGATGCCAGCACGGACACTAGGGATGGACGTGCTCACACAGTATCACTTCACGTGTGTTATGTGTGCTTCACGTACATAAGCCGCGTGGACCTGCATGTTTATACATGTTCCTTTTTACTCTTGTTGCTGCTGGGTTTCAGGTAGCTTGCCAGGAAACAGGAACATTCCAGGAAGAGGACATAAACTGTAAATACGAGAAGGGAGAGAGGAAGATGCAGGCAGGGACAGGAAGGAGAGGACTGGGGCGAACACGGGACCAGCAACGCGGCCCACGCCCCTGCTCCCGGCACGCGGTGCAGGCAGGCCAACTGCTGGAGGCCGTAGTCACACTGGCCCTGGTGCCTCTGCCGTGGGGATGCTGGTGGTGCTGTCAGGGCCGCGGCTCACTTGCACCTGCCACCGGCCTAGAGCCCCGGTCCAGTTCCTGAGTTTAGAGCAGGGTGTCCCCACAAACCCACCTGCCGTGGGCCAGAGATAGGCACTGAGGGGCGACAGCAGGGTGACCAGGCAGGCTCCATTTGTGTCCCCAGAGCAGACATCTGTCACTATCCTCCGGAGATGCTGACAGCTGGGGGGATGGACAGGGTGAAGGGGTCCCGTGGCGGCTCCTCTGCAGCCGTCCTCCCTCCTGGCCTCGTCCCATGTGGAAGCCCAGAGAGCCCCAGACTCCTCACTCTGAGAACTAAGCCCAGACTCGCTCCTGTGATCCACAGGACCCGCAGCAGCACCACCCCGTGCCCCATTCCCACCCACCTCCACACTCAGGAAGGCTCCAACTCTTCTTCCACGGCCGAGCCACACTGGCCCCTCTGTGGCTGCCCCTTCCAGCTCGGCTCTCAGCCCCACAGCCTCTTCCTCCCACGGTGTAGCCGCGGCCGGTGCTTGCTGGTGCTTCCCCCTCCCTGCCGTCTGTGAAGGCAGGGGCTACACCTGCCTCGCTGGATGCTTGTTTGCTGCTGAAGCTGACCCTGAGTAGTCAGTGTTCCATGCATTTGTAGAAGGAGTATAGGAATCCTCTGGAAGGCAGAGGCACTCTGTGACCCGCTAGA